GGGTTGGGGACGAGGGGTGTGGGGGTTGGGGACGAGGGGTGTGGGGGTTGGGGACGAGGGAGTTCAGGACTCTCGGGGGGGTTGGGGGGCTGGAAGAGGCGGGGAATTTGGGCCTGGAGGGCGGGGTTGGGAGCTGGAACGGGGATTGGAGGGAAGTGGATTGAGGGTTGGGAGGCTGAGATTGAGGTTCGGAGGTAGGTTGGAGGTTCGGAAGGTAGGCTGGAGGTTACGTGTTGGGAGCAGGAGTTGGGACGAGTGAGGGTCGAGGTGGGGCAGGGGTTGATAGGGGAGGTTGGATGGAGTTGCGGGACGGGCTGGAGGGTTGTGGAAGGAGAGGGTTTGTTGCGGGAGGTCAAGAAGGGGAAGGTTACGAGAGATTTGGGAGGGAAAGAGGATTGCTGGAGGGTAGGAGGGGTGGAGGATTGGGGCTACTTCCAGTGAGTTAAAATAATTTGAGTTAAAAAGTTTTGATATGGGATCTCTGCGTATGGCTGTGTCTCAGTAATATTGAGGGCTTTGCAGTGGCCATCCGTGCGATCTTGTTATCATTAGATGAACTGTTAAAATGTGTTCCAGATGGTTGCCTTCTGTTTCGAACGTTCCTGAAAGGAGAATTCAGTGATGAGAATGTCGATTTCTGGATAGAATGCGAAGAATTCCGGAAGATGAAGGAGGGCAAGAAATCGACAATCCAGAAAGCACATGCAATATACAATCAATACATCGCGGAGCAGTCACCAAAAGAGGTTTTTTTTTCTTAAATTTATGCCATTAGAATGATGATTTGTCTTATGTGATGGTTTTTGATTATTACTATTATATGATGCCTTTTACTGACTATTACTATTGACCGTTTTACTTTGACCGTTTGACTACTATTGACTATTATTTGACCGTTTCCCACTTCCCTTGTCACAATTCCACCTAAGTATACGATAAAAACGGGACAGGGATAATTTGACTTTTAATTTTCAAATGGCGCGACAAAAGTTCGTAAAAACATTTTGAAAAGGTTCACTTCTTTCAACAACCAGACGCGAAGTGCTAAACCGCTGCATCGTCTTTTTTTGTTCCCCAGGCTCAAACTTTAAACAGTAGTGAGTGATACAAAGGAAGACGTATTTTTTTAAAATTTTTTGCATTTTCAAGAAATAACGTTTCAGGTTAATTTGGACAGTGACACCCGCGCAGCAACAAAAGCAGCTTTGGAAAGTGGCGCAAGATTGAATACCTTCTCGCTAGCACAGACTCGTATTGAGCAACTCATGGCTAAAGATAGCTATAGGCGATTTTTGAAATCCAAGCTTTTTCTGGATTTGCTCAATAATGGCAGTACAAGCAACGGTAGCACGGAGTCCAGCACCGAGAAACTGCCGCAGGCTGATCATAAGGATCGCGGCCGATAATTAAATTTAACTAGTTAATTATAAATATGCAGTTAATGATATATATCATTTGCTTTTCTCTGCCCATTGAAATAGTTTTTGAAGTTCCGAAGTGCCTAAAATGTTAATCGGTTCACTCTTGATTCAGCGTTACCGAAGAAGAACGAGATCTCTTGTTTCAATTTCAAAAGTTCGATTTTTTTCAGGGTTTTTCGGCCTGTAAGTTTCTTTGGCCGGTTTTAAAACTGCGCTTTTTATTGAGTTGCTTTTTGTGATTTTTTAAATTTTTGGCTCAAAAAATTTTTCCTCTCTTTAAGGCTAATAAAGAAGTTTTGGGTGCTACAGAGAACTGTTGTAGCACCGCGATATTAACATATCTTTTCTAGCACAATGATATTAACATATCTTGATCTGTATTGGGTGAAAGCTAGCCTGGAACTCCAAATACTAGGGTCTAAAAAGGAGGAAACTGAAGTTCTTCCTATATTTGAAAAATTTCGAAAAACCCATATAATTTGAAAATTTTGAAGAGTTCATAAAATGGCGCATCCATGCGTGAACGTCAGAGTTGGATTTCAGCTGCTGATTGATTATCAAGTCGGATTTGGAATAATTTCTTTTAAATTTGAAAGTAATTCACCCTGTTTTAGTGCAACTGCGAAAATGCGATCACTTATTTTTATAACATTATCACTTTAACAAAGCTGAAAATCCAATATAAACCTCTGCTGAAAAGCGGTGACAAACTGGAGGCTACTTTACAACAGTTCCAAAAATTAATACAACAGACAGTATCCTCAAAAGTGGAGGTCATTGTGTATGAGCACTAGATCTGACCGCAAGTGACTGGATCAAAAAATCTCAGTATAAATATCGTTAATTTCCCCCGTGACAGATTGTAGGATTTTTAAGCGTTGATAAAAATAAAACAGAATTAGGGAACATAAGAAAATGACCAGACATAAGGTGGACATTGGTCGCTGTATACGTATGACTTTATTTTTTTCAAAAAACCGCCCATTGTTTAATTGTCCTTATCCTGCCTCCGGTATTAGTGTTGCTACTCCAAACATTGTTGTTAATTTGTTTCGCTGTTTCTGATGTGACTTTAATCGGTGTTGACATTTGAATTATGTAAATATTAGTATTTTGTTTGCAAAGATATTAATTAATACTTGTTTGTCGTTTTTTTTTTTAACTGTAGAAATGTTTCCTGTGTTGTCGAATATTCTTTTCATAATTTTTATCTTCCAGCTAAATTGATTGAATGTTAGGGAAAATTTCGAAGAGGGCATTTTTTGTTTATACTATATTCCTTAAATGTACTTGAAAAAAGCCCTTCACATGATTCGTTTATGATTCATTCATATGTGTTTCGAGGGTAAATTGGCACTGCCATGCGTCAGGAAGTCATCAAACCCAACATCAGCTTGCTTTTAAAACAGTTCTTGAAAGAGGAAGTCATAGACGGTCTTACTAGCGGATGGTTTCTGTTGGCACTTGCTATCACCCAGACTATTCCCCTGTGCTTGTGCTCGGAAAGAATATGGGGGAGAGGGGGG